TCTAATAGTACTCCGATGAGGCTCAAAAAACAAAATCAATTTTTCGATTATTCTCGATGAAAAAGTTATCGGATGAGTTATCGAAAAAATAATGCAAACTTGTACTGCGTATGGTATACACGAGTATGCATGCCAAATTTCAGCTCTCTAGCTCTTATATCATCTGAGATCTCGGCGTTCATACGGACAGACGGACGGATGGACAGACGGACAGGGGATTATCGACTCAGCTCGTCGTGCTGATCAAGAATATATATACTTTATGTGGTCTGCGATGATTCCTTCTGCCTCTTACATATTTTTCACAACAAAATTATACCCTGATTTCCCATTTTCAATGGGTTAAGGGCATAAATATACTGCGTATGGTACACGAGTATGTATGCCAAATTTCAGTTTCTAGCTCGTATAACTTCTGAGATCGATGCACTCATACAGACGGACAGATAGGCGGACAGGGCTCAGCTGGTCGCCATGATCAAGAATATATGTACATATGTATATACTATGTGGGGTCTGCGATGATTCCTTCTGCCTGTTACATGCATTTAACAAAGCCATTATACCTTTTTATCCCATTTTCATTGGGTTGAGGGTATAAAAGTTATTGAAAAGTCGGAGCCGCAGAATGTGCTTCGAAGCAATCCCATATAACAGAGTTCTTTTAAAATATTAATTAATTTTAACATATATTATGAATATGTTAAATATTAGCAGTTAAAGAAAAGCAATTGATAATTACAATAAGTAAAATATGTATATACATACATCTCAAAGTCTGTGATGTAGCAGTGGTGTTAACACTTTAACAATTAGAAAATACTTTTTGAATTGAAATCGAATAATTTCATTTAAGAAGCTAGTTTTCTATCCTTCGGTGAATGATATACATATATGTATGTACATACATATACTGTCTTTCAATCCAAATCTAGCATGACTGAACAAACAATAGTCTTAATTAAATGACGACTCACATATGTACATATGTACATATGTATATGTATAGACAGTTCTGGGAGTCGCGAGGCCGCGTCATTTGCTGCTCGTTTACTTCCTGTCTGGCTAATTGGATAAATTTGCGGTTTAGTGGCGGATCAATTGTACTTATATTTCTTACAAATATGTGTGTACATTGACTTTATAAAGTGACCCACTTTAAAGAACTGATATCGATAGTCTTTATATGGCTCACCTGAAGTCTTCTGGCCCTTACTGTTTAGGAAGACAGACACAAATTAGCGCAATCAGAGAAACAACACGCTCCTTTGGTCGAAAGCCGGCGCGGCTGACACCTGTTAAGCTTTGGTGAAAAATGAAGGAGAGTGTCCATTCGGAGTTGACATATTTATTGTTATCAATTTGATTCTGTTTGGCAGCTGTAGTGAGTATTTCGCCAAATGTGTGTTCGATTTTCAATATTTCATGCGCTTGGTGTCATTTTGTAAACATGTATGTACATATGTATGTGTCTGTCAATTAAATATTCATTTAACCTCAAGCAAAAAGGTGAATCAAAGAAGATTCAATTATCATAATATGCTGATCTGTGTTACTTTCCTTACCTTGAACACATATGTATGTACATATGTACATATGTATGTATGTATATTCACAAATTACATCCATACGAATCGCCTATTTACAGGAGCATAACGGTATTGACAGCGAAAATAAAGTCAAATAGCACATGCAAGCTCTGCTCTCAGCATACGCACACACTCGCAGTCCCACTTGCGCTCACTCTCGCACTCACACCCACCCTCGCACGCGCACTCACATTCGGACTCACACAATGAAGGCAATCGAGCAGAATCATTGCCGTTGGCAGTTTTCTTCAGAATGATTCAAGAGGAAGGCGGGCACACTTCAACAGGCGATAACAACAAAAACAACAACAAGAACAGTAAACGAAAAAGACGACAACGACGACGGCGTCGTGACGCCGACATTGACGTCGACGCTTCGCACACAACAAGTGGCAGC